TGCTTAAAATTTAAATTATACGACTAACCCTAAAATATCTACATGATTGCGTTTGTTATAAATAAAAGATGGAGATAAAGATGAGAAATAAAATATAGAAGAAGATTGATTGAAATACCTCTTGAACGAGCTTCTATTGAATCTTCAAATATGGAGAAGGTGCTTTATGGAAACCTTTCACACTACAATATGCCTCACAAATCTCAAGAAATACAATAGGAGGGAGAGAGAGAGAAATTTCAATCTCTAAGGAGTCTTGGACGAAATTTTTAGAGGTCCGGAGAACTATGCCCAAGCTATCTATTTATAGACATCAGAAAGGGTCCAGAATGGCCCGTTCCAAAATCGAAACGGCCCGTTCTGGATCTGGCCATTATGTGTTAATTTCATAATTGGAACGGCTCGTTCTGAAACTAGAATGGCCCGTTCCAGAGATAAGATTAACACACAATTTGGTAGACTGGAATGGGCGTTCCAAATAAGAGATTTTAGGCCATTTTGATATCTCAGAATGGCCAGTTCTAGTTTAGGAATGGCCCATTCCGATTAAGGTTTTTAACCTTTTTTTAGGAGCTTGGAACGGCCCGTTCTAGCCTATTAGTTTTAGGCCTTTTAGGAATCTCAGAACGACTCGTTCCAATTCAAGAACGGCCTGTTCTGGACTTGGGAACGGCCCGTTCCGGGCCACTAAAAACAGTTGATTTGGGCTTTTGGGCCCTCTGATGTCCTATCCTGTTGTTTGTATGCCCCCGGACGAAATTGACTATCTACAACACTAAATAATCGATTATTTTTGGAATAATTGATTATTCTAGAGGGTCATTTCCTCTCACTTGCCTAGATAATCGATTATTTCCCAAATAATCGATTATTCCAGAGGCTCTTTGTATTCTTGCTACCCAGATAATCGATTATTGCCCAAAGAATCAATTATTCCAGAGACTTCTGGAATTCCTCTTCTCCTAGATAATCGATTTTCTTCCAAATAATCGATTATTCTCCTAGGCTCACTTAGAATAATCGATTAAATTTTACAATACCATTTTGGTTTTGTATGATTTTCATGTCTCTTAAACTTATACCAACGATTTTTAATATTGTTGTTACATTTCAAATACCATATTCCTCACTGCGAGGATAAGTAATTGATTTATGTGTTTGTAACATATCCAACACAAAATGCCATGTGTTTTGATTTGAATAATTGATTTAAATGTACTTTTTTTTTTCTTAATTGTATTTTTGATCTTTCAAGTATTGTAATTGTGTAATTTTGATTCTAAAAATTTTAATTAAGTAATTTTAGTTCCTAAAGAATTGTAATTATGCAATTTTATCTCTTAACTTTTAATTGAATAATTTTAGTCTTTCAAATATCATAATTGTGCAATTTTAATTTTTTCTATTAAAAATTTAATAATTTTAATATATATATATTATTATATATATATTTATTTATTTATTTATTATTACTAAATAAATGAAATTTACATATTATTAATATTATAATATTATTATTAGTATATTTATAGATAAATTAATAATTTGATAAATATAAGTTAGTATATATTACTATAATTTTACAAAAATATAAATATATTAGATAATATATAGAAGAAATTTAATTAGAAATATCATTTATCTAATATATTTATATTTTTGTAAAAGTATATTGATATATACTATGTAACACCTCGAATTTTCATACTTTATATAAATAAATTTTGAAATTATTTTGATATTTAATATAGTTATTTTAGAGTTTTAATATTATATATTTAATTAATTATGAGCTTTATTTTATTTATGAAACATGATTTATAATGATTATTTTGATTAGTGATATATAGGTAACTTTTATGAAATATATTTTATTAATAATATGTTTGTATTTATTTTAATATTTTAATATGTTTATTAGAAGGATTATTAATATTATTTAGTTAGTAGATATGAGTTCTATTTTTAAATAAACGTATGTTATTTTACTAGAAGGGAGAAATATATTTTATATTATTTATCTATTTTATGTGAGCTATATTTTATTATAAAAATGATTTTTAATTAATATTTAGATTATTTGCTATAAGACTATTTTTATGAAAAATATGTTTTTATCAAGAATTATGTTTATATTATTTATTAGAAAGAGAAAATATGTTTAATTATTTTATGAGAAGGGAAGGAGGGACGTAGTGGTCTTTTGCTAATTAATAATAATAATAATAATAATAATAATAATAATAATAATAATAATAGTAGTAATAATAATAATAATAATAATAATAATAATATTTGAATAATTATTTACTCAGGATAATACTCACTAGCACTCTTACTTAGTAATTAATTTTATGTTTTAGGTTGATAGTATTGTAATAATATAATATATTTATTTTTTATTAATTAATATTAATTTTTTGAGTTGATAATAATTTAAGAAATTAATAAATTTATTTTAAAATTTAATTTATATCATTGTTTGCTTTATAGGTTGATAACACTGAATTTGTAATTATATATTAAATGATTTACATCTATTTTGAAATATTTAAATTTTTATAAAAAAGTAAATATAATTATGTTGATTCGATTAACGTAATCCAATCCGATAAATTATAATTAGATTAGATAACGAATTTATCCAAACCCCCAACCCGTATACACCCCTAAAGATATTTTTTTTTTTTTTTTAATTGGACAGTAAGAATAATCTTCCACTGAATCTTTCTCTTCAACCCAGTTTCAATTTCTTCATGGGAGATGTTACATTGACCTAATACATTTATGAGAAATAATTCTGCTGTGAGTTAGCTCAATGTCAACACCTACCCAATGACTAAAATAAGCTAAGCAGAATGCTTTCAGTATAGGAGCACTATTTATTAATTTAAACTTGTGACAAAAGAAAAATAAATGAAAAACCAGACATCAACTACAGTGAACGTTATAATAATTCAATTAAAAGATCATTGATGACAGACAAGCTAGAAGTGATGGCTAGCTAAGCGCGTTATCGCCTTAGTCTTATTTATTTATTTATAATTTTAATATATTCTTTTAAATATAATTTTCAATTAGTTAAAATTTAATAAAAATTATAAAATATAGCAAGTTTTACACTATTTAATGATAATTTTTATTCTTTAATTTTTAATAAATTTTAACTTATATAAAATAAGACTTAAATATATATTCAGTCTTTCAAATTTAAAATTAATTTGTTAATGATTTCATATATATTTTAAATTAATTCTTTTTAATTCATGTAATTTTAAGAAATTTTATTTTAGTCTCTTAAAATTATTAATATAACTAATATTGACATATTAAAATAATTATATAATCTCATACAAATTTAATATAATATTTTCACTAAAAAAATGTTAATAAATAATTTTTGTATAATAAATTTAGTAATAACTAAATTTTATTTAACATATTTAGTAACGAAATTTAAAAATATGAATTAAAATAATTTTATTTTTTAAATTACACGAACTAAAAGAGCAATTTTAAATTTTGAGAGATCAAACACTAAATTATTTCGTATTTAATAAATTAAAATTATATTTAAATTTTAAAAATTTTCCGAAAATCAATATGATGGAAGTGATTTATATCCTTGATTACATTGAAGAGGTCCAAGCTGGTTCTTGTGCCTATATATACCAGTGGAATGCACAACAAGACGAATCACAACGCAAGTTGAAACACAAAAGAAAAATGGGTTCTTCTTTGTGGACTTGTCTGATTTTGTTATCACTTGTTTCTGCTTCCTTCGGTGCCAACCCAAGGACACCCATTGATGTGCCATTTGGCCGAAACTATGTGCCTACTTGGGCCTTTGATCACATCAAATACTTCAATGGAGGTTCTGAGATTCAGCTTCATCTTGATAAGTACACAGGTATATATGTATATAGCTATATGTGCTAATTCTATGTTGTTCACCTCTTATGCATTTTTGGTCATACAATTTTTGATTGTACTCATGCAATTTTTAATAGGTACTGGCTTCCAGTCCAAAGGGTCCTACCTGTTTGGTCACTTCAGCATGTACATAAAATTGGTTCCTGGTGATTCAGCTGGCACAGTCACTGCTTTCTATGTAAGAAAAATGTTTTGTTTACCTTATTTTTTTTCTTTCAAGTTTCTCCACCAGTTTGGTTGTGTGTGTGACCCTTTGGCTGTGATTGGCACTGTGCAGTTATCATCCACAAATGCAGAACACGATGAAATAGACTTTGAGTTCTTGGGGAATAGAACTGGGCAACCATACATTTTGCAAACAAATGTGTTCACTGGAGGCAAGGGTGACAGAGAGCAGAGAATCTACCTCTGGTTTGACCCTACAAGAGAATACCACAGATACTCGGTGCTATGGAACTTGTACCAGATTGTGTAAGTATATTACACTATACTTCTTCACTCAAGAAGTAACAATTTCTCCTACCTTTCTCTCCCCCATTTGTTCCACCAATTTTTTATGCACAAGGCTTAATTTTTAATAAGAATACACACCATTATTAAAACTATCATTCAAATTTATTATGAATTCTAATTTACACTAACCCTGCAAAGTTGTTTTACACAACCAAGCCTCTCGGTCAATTGGTTGAAAAGTCTTCCCGTAAAGTGGAGCTCATATGATGATACTATGTGCTATTATTGTTTATGTTAAAATAATATCTAATCAATAAAAATTATATTTTATAAATATAAATTAATTTTAAATTATTAATTTTAAGATATTATATAAGTCATAGACAAAAATAATTTATTTTACATAAAAATTCAATTATAAATTATTATATATAATAATTTTGTTGACTTTTATAATATTTATTTTTAAAAATCATATTAATTCTCAATTTTTTTTCTATTAATTGACAAAAGTAAAATTTCTTTCCATAAAAAATTATGATCATTGTACCTAAAATTTATAACAAGAAAAAACAAAAATTTAGGTTCAATACCATAAGTATATTATTAATACTATTTATCAATTAAAATTAAAATTTTACTTCAATAATATATGTCATTGAGATACACCACTAATTCGGATTCAAGAATAGTGAACACTACACATTATCATACTACTTTTTTCCTGCATTAAAAACACAAAGTTTGGTACTAATAAAAGAGAGGGAAATGTGGTGTGGTGAGTGCAGTTTCTTCGTGGATGAGTACCCAATCAGGGTGTTCAAGAACAGCAAAGACTTGGGGGTGAAGTTCCCATTCAACCAACCAATGAAGATCTACAACAGTTTGTGGAATGCAGATGACTGGGCCACAAGGGGTGGTTTGGAGAAAACAGACTGGTCCAAAGCCCCATTCATAGCCTCCTACAAGGGCTTCCACATCGATGGCTGCGAGGCCTCAGTCAACGCCAAGTTCTGCACCACACAAGGCACCAGGTGGTGGGACCAACCAGAGTTTCGTGACCTAGATGCTTCCCAGTGGGCAAAACTCACCTGGGTCCGCAACAAATACACCATCTACAACTACTGCACTGATCGCAAACGCTACCCTCAGGTTCCTCCAGAGTGCAAAAGAGACCGTGACATTTAATCCTTCCTTGTCACTGCCATAAACTTCCCACCATACAAATTTATTTTCAACTTTATGTGTCATCATTTTATCATGCTGTGTTACTGTTTGAGCTATGCAACAAAACATGTGCCATTGGCAATCAATGTGCATGCCTTAATTTGTGCTGTTATCTGTAATTGGATTTCGTTCTCCATCAATATTATATACTATTGATACGAACTGTAGCAAGTATGTATGTTATTATTTTTGTTGTTTTTCTGGCTCTATGATGTTTGTTCTGTACTAATATGGGACCTTTTCTGGCGAATGAGTTGTATTGCATTTGCGTGTATCCGTATTCTGGTTCTCTGGCCCCACAAATGAAGAGACACCGACAAGCGTTGTAAATAGGAAAAATGAAAAAGTTGAATGAAAAAGCTGAAACCAGAGACAAAAACATTGAACCAGTATTCGTGGCACGTCAAAGTGGTGGAGTCGCAGTGGATAATAAGTTGTTATATTTTTACTCCATCTGTATATAAAAAAAAAAATTTTTTTTACCAAAATTCATCAAATGCATTAAATTCTTACGATTTACATAAAATATACATATAATATTATTTAAAATATTTTTAATCATATTATGAATAGATAATTTTTATTTATTTATTACTGTAAAGATGTTTTTTAATTAAAAAATATTAAATAAAATTAACTTAATAAAAGTTTATTTATATTTCAGTCTAAAAAATTTAAGTATATATTTTGTATATAATATATATGTTCAAAGGAAGTATCATATTATTCCTTAATTGGATGTAACTAAGTGTTATTATTTTTTTATAAATAATAATAAAAAAAAAA